GTCTCCCCACTAAAACTGAAGTACAATGATTAAATATGGTAACTTTTACAAGAATAGTAATTTCTTTATTGAAACACAATGATTATAAAGGTTCAGTTTGATAGCAATTTCATTTTTTAATGTGAAGAACATAAAAAAATCCTTTTTATTATTTTTTGTGAAGAAAAAGGCAGGTCTAAAACAAAAAATGTTAAAAAATAATCCATATTTGATATAATATAAAAAAAAAAGCTTGATTATATTAAATAAATAGCTTATTCTCTTTTATTGAATCTGGCCTTTTCCCCTACCCATGTTTCATATGACTTAGTAAAAATGATGTAAGATGTAAAAAGATAAAAGTTTTAGTAGTTTTTTATGCTACCAACCCTTTGTATGAAATCTGACAGATACCAAAGAGAAAACTATTGCACTTGTCTCCCTTTAATGTCATGCATTGAAACTGTATTAAGGAAATTCAACAATTTTGAACTCCTCATTAATAAGTATGGACCAGTGGTTGATTTAATTGACACATCAGAAGTATCTGAAAACCTTGAAATATCTTTTATTTTTCCTTATCCAATCATATCTAAACACTATCTAATCATTTCACATCATCACCTTTTAATAAAAATGGTATTTCTCATTTAGGTAAAAAAAAACATAAGATATATGTCAACATACTTGGACTTAAAAGATGGTTAAAAAGGATAAAAGAAAAACCCAAGAGAATGATGATACATGCATGATTTTATACAAAACTTCTAAAATTTATACAATTTAAAAATATTTGTGTTATATAAATTAAATGATTCATGATAAGTAGCACAAAATAAATCTAATATATCTGCCAACTCTGAAATGATATGCCATGATAATTTCATTCTGCTGAAACAAAAACAAAACTGCATAAAATCATTTCAAGCATACAAGAGGTCTACAACTTAGAAAACAGGGGCAAAACCAAAATATGAATTAATCACACACACAAATGAAGGTATTAAAGTAGGCAAGTACACACACACACACTTGTGTCATGTCATGAAATATATATGAGGTTACTTTAAGCCCTGGAAAAATTAAGACACATTTGAACTATGAATAAATCCTTTACTTTAAATACCACCCCCTTAAAAAAAGCAGAAATACTGGTATTAAAAAGTAAATTGAAAGATTATCTGAAAACTTCATTACATGAAAAGCAATTTTTTTCCCATTTGCAACAGAATAATTTTCAATTTTTCCAGGACTTTTAGTGATAAAATACAATACAATGGCACTAGATATGTAGAATATTCTCTAATTCATGCCAAATACTACCTACAGCTACCAGGGCATTTCTCTTCATACTTTTAGTTATTTAAAAGTTTATGGCAAAAGTTTTAGGTGGAATGAACTGCTAAATGATTTGCTTATCAAAAAATTATGCTAATGCTAAAGTAAAAAAGAATCTTAAAATTTTCATGTTCAGCTAACACTAGTTCAAAATACATAAAAAATTGATTAGTTAAAAAATCTACATTTAGAACTTACATTATTTATAGCAATTATTTTCAAAATCTTTCTTAAATTCTAACTCTTCAAATAGATCTTTTCTCGATAAGCTTTCCATATTTGGCACATGATAAAAAGTATAAAAAGTTATCAGTAAAATGGTCCAGTGCCAAAATATTGCAAAGAAAATGTTACACTGTTATTATGACAAAAGTTACAAATTGCTGACAGTTAATACAACATAATTCCAGACTTCAATGCCATTATCTTCAATTATTAAACTGAGTTTCGGCAGTAGCCCCTTCTTCAACTGAGGGAGAGGACATAGGTTTGGATTTACGAATCTTTGGGTTTTGTAAGGAGTGGTAACTGTGTATTGAAGACATACTAGTACTGTCATATCGTGCATCTAAGCCCATGCGGAAAGCATTAACAACACGTATCTGTAAATAAAGAAAACATAAAAAAACATGACTAAGAGTATATAGGAACAACATCTAGTGAGAATAATATAGTAGTATGAATGGTCTACTGATGATGGTAAAAGACAGAAAACAATACAATCACAAATCCAAGTAGAGAAAAGTTTTTAAAAAATGTCACCACTTCCAAGTCAAGCATTTAAATTTCTAGACAAAAACTATTATAAAAGGTTGCAACCCTCTTCTCATATTTATCTTAGCTCTCATCACTGCCATTTTCTTATATTATTAAAAGTTTTTTTTGACAGATAAAGATAGAACCCGAGATTGACAACTTTACATGACTCTTTGGAGATCATATGTACACATATGGCTTATTTCCCTATAATATTGTATATAAACAAAAAATTACATTTTAATTCCCCCCAAAAAAAACCAATTAATTGTTGAATAAAATGTATCTAGTTCAACATAAAATCAATTTTGATTCTATCCAACAATTGTTTAAACTCTACTGTTACCTAGCCAACAGAATTGTTACAGAAACACTGGGGTTTAAGGAATATCCAGCTGTAGATACAGGCTAGACTTGTAGTTGCCAATCTTGGGTATTATATGGATCTGTTTTTGAAGAGTTTACAGCACAATAGGTAGGCACCATACCTAAAGATCCTACACAAGTATAAAATTTGTAAAAAAATCACTTTTCATAAGATTAAACTTGATATTTTGTTTGAAAGTTTGACAGGTAATACCACAACTAATTTTGTTTAAGTTTTGTTTAATAAGTTATTCCTTATCAATACCAATTCTATGAAACTTCAGGACCTTAATAGAAAATCAATCACTACAAAGTTACAGACCAACTACAAAGGGAAACAAATGGCAGATAATGCCGGCAAGAGTTGGCAGAAAGCCAAAAAACACTTAAAATATCAACACAAGGTTCAACAGAACATCTATAAACATTACAATACAAAATTTCTTAAGCAATGTGGTGTGAGAATTCACACGCTTTTAAACATTGAGAATATATAAAAGCATAAAGATCAGTTCAGTTATTTTCTTAAAAATATGGACACAACAAAACAACAAATGGTTTAGGACAAAAAACATCTATACAATACCAACATGTTTGCTGGGGAAATTAAACAACAAAGAATTATCACATTCTTAATCACAGCTCAAGGAACATGCACTTAATTTGAAAACTTCAAATTCTGTGTATTCCTAAATCTTTCTAAAATCAACCACTGACAAAAGAATAGGAAACAATAGAGATAAGTCTAGTCCAAAAACTTTGAGTTAAAATTTTGTTTTGGGAATAAATATAAAATCAGAAATGCATTTTTTTTACAATTACAAAAAAGATCATAGATTTTTTTGAGAAAAATGAATGTTTTTTCAATAATGTCAATGTATACATGCACACTGATGAGAAGACAAATGTCAATCTGATGGTTAACATAAGGAATGTGAATAATATATTATGGATATAATTCAAATATCTTTCACAGAATTTGAGAACACCTAAAGCTTGAGTGAAATAAAAAGGACACTGTGCTGACATCAATATTGCACTGTTTACTTAGATAGAGGTTTCAGTCACACCCTTCTGGTCTAACTGACTTACAATCTTGGGAGGAGATTCTTTGTGGGCTGGATTAATTGGGGCTAAAACTGGAGAAGGTTGTTTACTAACTAAAGGTACATTTTCAAATGACTGACTTTTAGCTTTAAAAGTCCGTTCTGAAAAAGAATGAGGAGAACGATAATGAGTGGCATCTGTCATAGTGATACGAAGTCTTTGATGGTGATTAGACAGATCTTCACTAATGGGACGCGGCCCAGGGTGACTGCGCGAACTACGTAAACTGTGCAAACTGTGAAAACTGTGTATACTACGTTTTTCTTCTAGATCTTCCAGTGTGCTCTTAAACGCTCGAACAACTCGCAGCTGTCAATAAAAAAAGTGGTTTGTGTTCAACATGTCATTTAATGTTGCCAAGACAACACACCAAAATGAAAAGGGTTGAATAATCTGATGACCGCAGCTACAGTAAAAGAAAATAAACAAAGAAAGAAAGGGAATAACTCAACTAAAACACTAGTCTACACTAAAATGTTTGGATAACCAAAGATTAGCTAGATAGAAAGTAAGAAAGCCATCAAAATCAAATACCAAGACCAAGAAACATAATCAATAAAAAAACGTTTCAAGCTTAATTAAATAAACAAACATCATAAAAATCTATAATAATACACCAGGATTGAAAAATGTAATAAGTTTACAGCAATCTAAAATAAAATTTGAGGAACAATTTCATTTAATAAATTTTACAAGTGTTTTATCTTAAGTTATCTAAAATTTTCAATTCCCCTGAAATTCCTTTTACAATTAAAGAAGCTGTACTAAAAAAGGATAATGTGAGGAAGATATATCAATTCATTGGTACATTTGACATGTTAACACAGTATTTTACAAGTGGCAATTTCAAAACTTTTAAATTAACGTTTATACAAAACAAGGAAGAAGTGGAAGAAATAAAAGAAACTTTTTGACAAAATTGTTTCCAAGTCTCAATCCTGGTGTTACTGTTAATTCATTCAATAATGCAATTAAATTTTTATCATTTCTAATTCATTCTTTTAATTTTAACCGTACTGTACACTAATGCAGGCATTTAAATACAACATATGTCTATCAAACAAGACAGGACTAAGAATATTGATTCTATAAATATACATGCCACATGTATCAACACATCCTTTAATTTTGTCATTTCAATCAATGTATTGTAGCCTTGATAACATGACTCGAAATGCAATAACTTTTTACAATGTATCCAGTCATGTTGTTACAAGTCAACAATGCAAAGATATTTTAATTAAAATGAGATGGCCTTATGAACTATTAAACAGTGAAACAATTTGTTTTCACATTTAAAATACAGATTTTTATTGTGAATTGTTTAAAATTTCCCTACACATGAGATCTTAATAATCATTTTATGTAAGAACTGTACAACATAACACGAGATTGATTTTCCATTCATTTATGTGGCATATACTTGACCGAATACAGATAAAATGACCTCCTACCTGTTGCTGGAGTCTGGTAAGGCCTCTGACCCATAGGATCTGGCCACGCCTTCCTCCTACATCTTCCTCTTCCATCATCATGTCATGATCTACTTCTTCGTCTTCTTCGTGTCTGCCACGTAGGCGACGACAAACATTTTTAGGTATTGTACTTGTTGGAACAGTTGTAACAAGCTGTAAAATATATCAAAGATTTTTGCATATAAAAACATATATATACACATATATATATATATACATTTTGATGTTTTTAGTTTGGAAAATACATTATTCCTATGTTATCATTTCCTTCTTTTTTGTAATATATATGATAATGAGTGATTTGACAATAGTGGGAACTAAAAATCAAGAAATGTTTATTCATATGCTTCAATTAGTGTGTGTATGCCAGTGGTAAAGACTGTTTCCTCTGCCTATTTCCTAAATAACACACATTCACAGGATTCAGTCTCACCTTTTGATGTGCTAACTTATCCAAATTCTGATATGTTTTATACATATGAGCATTAATATTATGACTGCAATACCGAGATATAACAGTATTGTTCTAAAACTTAAAAACGTACTTAATATTTCAATATTTAGCATCAAAACAGCAGTTTATTATTAGTTTTTTACTTGAATCAAATACTGAATGAATACTTCAACAATTTGTTAGCCTCAAAGTATATGCCACCTTTCTTATCTGTTAATCTACTTACCTGTCCCCATATCAGATCCCCTATTCCTAAAAACAAACACCAAAACCACTGCTCTAGTGTTAATCCTTTGGTGTAAAACACAGAACCTCCAACTTGAACTAGTACTATCTGTAATTATGTCATATCACTTATTAATTGCATCTCATTACAGTACATATGTATTTGTATTTTGCAAATAAATAGTGGGTTTAGGATAAAAACAAATTGACTATGTGCATTTTACCATTTTGAAATATATTTGATAGCAAGAGTGCACACGCTGAAATGTCTCGCTGGCTTTACTAACCATTGACTTAATGTTGAAAGTCTTAAAGATAGGGGTTTTACTAAAAGTATCACATAAACTTAACATTTTCAAAGATTTATGACAATGAGGTCAAGGTCAGATAAATCCTGTCAGACAGACATATACACCTTACAATTTTTGTATACACCAAATAAAGTTGACCTATTGCTTATGGTAATTGAAAAACAGACCAAAACACAAAAGCTTAACATTGGCCAATGAACCATGAAAATGGGGTCAAGGTCAGATAATACCTGCCAGACAGAAATGTACATCTTACAGTTATTCCATACACCAAATATAGCTGACCTATTACTGTAAGTATTTGAAAAACAGATCAAAACACAAAAACTTTACATTGACCAATGAACCATAAAAATGAGGTCAAGGTCAGATGATACCTGCCAGATAGACATGTACACCTGACAATCATTCCATACACCACATATAGTTTACATACTGCTTATAGTATTGAGAAACGAACCTAATCACGTAACTTTAACCTTGATCACTGATCCATGAAATGAGATCAAGGTCAGGTGAACCCTGTCTGACGGACATGTTTACGTTGCAAGGTACCCATATACCAAATATAGTTATCATATTACTCATAATAAGTGAGAAATTCACATGACAAAAAACTATGATTTTTTTCAAGCATTCGCTGAACAATGAAAATGAGGTCAAGGACAATGGACATGTGATAGACGGAAACTTTGTAACATAAGGTATCTGCATACAAGATATGAAGAAGCATCCAGGTCTTCTACCTTCTGAAATAAAAAGCTTGGTACAAATAATTTACATGGCCGCTGAAGCTGTCATAGGTAACAAAAATTTCCCTTTGGAGAAATTGAATAGGCAATAAACTACTGTGGATTCATTTATTTTCGTGGGTATCAATTTTCGTGGATAGAGAAAAAAAGACATTTCGTGGATCGCTGATAACAAAAAAAAAAATTCAGATACGTAATACGTGGATTTCGTTTTGATTGAATAGAGCATATAACCTCCTTGGTTTGATCAATAATAAAACAAACAAAAAGAAGGAATTCATTGAAAAAGTTTTGAATTGTCAAAATCCTCGCTTGGTCATTCTAGGTTAAAATGTTCATTGGAAACTTCTATTACAATAATGGACAGAGACAACTTATAATTATTTGTTTGTTTTACAATTTATAAATTCTTGTCGGAATTTTATGAGGCATTCAAAACTCTATGATTGAAAGCTCAGTTCCCTAATCACGATATAATAAACAGTCATATAAGTAAAAGGTGTGAAAATAAATGTTCCTGTCATAAACAATATTGCCTTTGGGCAATATCCCCGTACTTAATCCTATTGATTTTTAATCACCAGTAAACCAAACTATGACACAGTAATTAACAACTTGCAGTTATATTCCATGAACAGTTTAATCAATTTTAAAAAGTAAATTATCACTGATATTCGATATATTAATTATTGATTTAATCAAAATACTTGTATCTTCTTTCAATAAAAACACCTGTTATGTTTCAATGTTTATAGCTAGTCAACACTATACTAGAACTGCATAACATAACCGGAAATAAATATCCGACTCCATACACATTTCTCGGGATTTTTCTTTGTTGAATTCTTAAATTCGTGGTTCGCTGTGACCCACGAAACCCACGAAAATTGGTATTCCAAGAATAAAAATGAATCCACAGTAATAGGGGTACAATAATTTAAGAATCCTTTTTTACTGTAAAACAAAACATTTAGTGCCAAAGGGAAATTCTGATTAATTAATAGCTTGTTAGTTGCTTAGTATTCAGAGGCAAATATTTCATATATATCATATATATATACCGTAGATACTCGCTTAATAGTCGATCCTACTATAAGTCGGGGTCCTTTTTCAGCTCCAAATTCTAAGGATTTAGTCTTGACCCTCGTATAAGTCGGACAAAATTTGGGCATTTTTTTTTTCAGCTGACAGTAACTGAACGCCGGTAAAACCAATGCAAATCCAGGAATAATATTCATTTCTGCATTAATGTTTGTTTGGTTTGAATTTAGTTGATGCTCATCATGATAATTTATATTGCTGTTAATAATAAAGATGTATTCATTTCTCTTGTTTTGTTCACTGTTCAAATGTCAGATTAGCCATGTGTTGTTTACGTAATGCATCAATGATTTTGTAGGGTATGACTAACAACCTATTGTTTGAGAAAAGCGAATATAAACCAATATGAACCTGAAAAATTTAAAGTCAATCAACACTTGATGAAAATATTTTTCACAGCATACATAACTCGGTGTTAAATGAGCATGAACACTTCATAATTCTTATTATATTGTGATGATTAAAGGATTAAAAAAATTAAGTGAAGCTAATCAATATATTAAAATAACTAACTCCAACTCATTAGTGTCATCTGTTTACCTATCACTGATAGTTTTCACACCTTTAGTGAATACAACTCTTTGTCTCTTAATTGGGGTTATCAATGGATTATATTGGCTTGTCAATCAATTTTGTAATTTTTGTTTACCTGAGACACTATAATGAATAATATTTTGATTTTGGGAATGAATCTTAAAATTATTTTTTGATTATTATATGATTTATAAGCATTGAATTGATATCATGATATCACAATAATGACACAATAACTCCGCTGAAAACATCCTTTCACATATTTGGTACATTGTTATCTCCTTTTCATTTTTGGTTCTTGGCTCTTCTTTTGGGTTTATAGGAAAACCATGTGACCATGAAAATCAATACACAAACCGGAAACGGTAGAATTTCAACACGAATTTGCAGAAAATGTTTACCAAAGAACAAATAAAACACAAAGACAGTATTGAAGTCATTTATTTTCAACAAAAACTTTTTATTTATTGATTTATGTAGGTTTGGCAATCAAAAACGTAGTTTTGACCAGGAAATTCACTCCTGACCACTTTTCTCAAGCTTGGATTTTTCCTCTGGTCGCTAGATCTCGTCTATTAGTCGCCCCCCCTCTCTGGATTATGAATTTTACTCCCAATTTTCCGACTAATAAGCGAGTAGGAACGGTATGTCATTTTGTAAGATCTGAAATATGGTTGAATTGTGCAATTTGAGGTAGTATTATTCAATATCTTGGTTAAAATTTAATTTGTATGCATACTCTTTGCATCAGCTTTCATAGCAATAGTCTTGTTTGGCTTTTGGTGTATAAATATAACCTATCGAAACAGCACTCAGCTACATTTGTACTTTATAATTATAATTTTACCTGAGCTATAAAGGTTCCTATCCAGATAACTATAAACACTGGATTCCTCTGTAATCCTCCCAGAATATTACGCTGCCCATGGATTTTTCTAGCATTGACCTCATTACAAAGAGTCATCATAACAAATGTATTAAATATAATAGTAAAGTGCTGAGTTGGTGGAGAATGAATATCTCCTCCTATTCCACTATCAATGTCAAAAAACTGAGGACCTGTCAAAAATAGACAAATAGAACATTTTGGTAAACTTATTTGACAATACAAATATATCTATTTCATATGCCTAAAAATAGCACAACCCTGATGTAAAGATTCAAAACGTAATAAATATGACAAATTGTCTATATTTTTATCCATTTAGACTGAGTAAGCATGTTATTTTTTTGATTTATTGATTGATGGGTGTACATAATAATTCAAAATTCAGGACCACAACAGTTAATATCCCTGCTTTGTACCAGACCAAAAAGCTGAATAACATTTTTAACACTGTCCCCAGGAAAACTGGACACTCTATTCTGACACATGTATTCTTAATCCAAGGCAACCATTCTTAGCCCTAAATGCTGCATGCTCTCAGTGAAGATTCAGTAAATACCAATTTTAAAGTCTTTGCCTTGACTTGACAGGGTATTGAAAGCAAAAACTTCCACGGACCAGGATGTTACCACAAGACCACTCATTTGATCCATTTTGCATTAAGTTTTTGATGCCTTTTTATACGTGATGTATTTTCTAATTTCACTTTCTATTGATTTGTCGTAGATTGTCACTTTCTTCAAGGTATCAATATATACAATGGATTTTTCAAATCAAACAAAAGATTTAAAATGTTCATGTGCAAAGCAAGTGTCTGCCAACTAGCAAATGCTTTTTGTTTAAATTAGAGAATTTCATATCCAGCTGCAATGACCTCTGTCATAGCAGTTAACTGACCCGTATTCTGCAGATCACACCTGAGAATTTCCCCCTTGACATGGGATTTTTCAAATACATGCCGGGTATTCAAATAACCCGGGATTTCAGAAAATGACCTGTTTTGACCCGTATTTCTGACCGGTACTGTTTCCGGTATTTAGAAGTCAAATATACTTCCGGTTTTCTCAGCGTTTTTCCTTTGAAAAATGTAAACAATTGAAATTAGAATTTGCTTATTTACCGTGCCAATGACAGCTATCAAAACATTACATTTGATTGAAAAGTAACAATTCGAGGATTGTTTGTTTATTGTACAACAGAAAGTTGAAGCCAGTCAAGCTTGACATACAATTCTATGTCCTAATTAAAAGATTTGCCGTTTGCAAATATCCTCAATCCTGTAAAAATCACTTTAAAACAATTTGAACCTTTTAATACATTTCTGTTGGAGAGAATAATTTTGTTATCACTTAAATGTAAAAGCTTTAAATCAAATACATATACTCTAGATGTTAAACTGAAAGGAAACACACTAACTTCTTTCTATTTATCTTCCTCCTGTGTATAGGAGCACCATAGCTATAATTGATTACATGTATAGCTGGAGTTATGACATTCATTAATAAAAAGAAGTAAGCTAGTGTGAATAAAACAATAAAAGGGCATTGCTTTAGAAAGATATTCAATTAATGATAAATATTTATATACTTAACAAATACAAAAAGTGATTATTTTTAGGAAACTCAGTGGTACATGTTCATGTTATAGTATATAAAAAAAACTCTCAACACTAAAATTAGACCGAAAAAATTCGTACGCATTATGACCTGACATTTTTTTCTTTTTTTCATCAATGCAGGTCATGACCTGCATTTTCAGTTTCAGAAGTTGACAGGTATGCTCTGTGGAACTGTCATAGTTCATTGCTGGATTGAAACTGACAACTGTAACAGTTGGCCACTACACACTTACATTAAGTTAAAATGGTTCGTAATTATTCTTTGAATTTTTAATTCAGAATGAGCCTTATCATATTATTTTACTTTTTGTGATTGTGAAGAACTGGCACTTAAATTTAAAACTAACTACCGGTACATGAAATGGTTTGATATAGTCACAATACTAAAGCTAAGGACAAGCTGGTATTTTGTACTTCAATATTTATCACTTGATCAATCAAGCTTTTTTGTAAAACTAATGGACTTAGCAACAATGCTTTCTAAGAACCATGAATAACTGCTCTATAAAAGACTTACCCAAGAAAAGTAAACAAAATATAACAGTTAGCTGATAGATGGCATGACCAATAATATTTTTTGTCATGGTTCTAGAAATGAGAGCTTTCGTTCTTCCATAAGGTTTGCGTTCTAACAATTCCTCACTGGGAAGCTCTGTAGCAAGAGCTAATGAAGCCAGAGTGTCCATAATCAAGTTCACCCACAACATCTGAATAGCTCGTAGAGGACTGTCCTGTAACAAGAATCACATAAAATAATTATAACATAATTAAAATGTTACATCAACACTAATCTACATGTTTTCATATACACTCTTATTTAAATGTATATACCATGACCTAATGAACTTTTCATGTTTGTAGAAGTGGACAGTTCTGGCATGATCTGATATATTTTTTTTATGCAAATGTCCCTTATACATAACGGTTAATATCAAGTTTGTGTTGTTTCCAAGTAAACAAATATCCAGTAAGGAACAAAGCTAAATTTCTGACTTAAATGCAAATATCAATGGTAATCACAAATTAGGTTATCAGGGGTTTTCCTTGAAAAAATGTAGAAATGAGGGAGAGAAAAGGGGTATTGGAAAGAATTCATATTTTCGAGTTACTGTTCAAATTTACTGACAAATAAAAAGATTGCTGCTTTATATAAAATAATTTGAACCATAAACGAACTTCCTACCATAAACAATCAAGTTCTGCCAATTGTCTAATCATTTAACTGTTAACGTATGACAACTCACATCAATTATACAGGCTCCAAGGAAAGCTACAAGTACAGCAACAACATTGACTGTCAACTGGAACTGTAAAAACTTAGCAATACTATCATAAACATTTCTACCCCACATCACAGCCTTAACAATACTGGTAAAGTTGTCATCTGTTAAAATAATGTCTGAGGCTTCTTTGGCTACATCTGTCCCGGATATACCCTATAAAATAAAGACCAAACATAACTCTTCAACCATTTTGATACCTGTAAATATATAATCTTATAAAGTATAGAAAATGTGTGAGTCTTCAAAGGAAGATGTGTGTAACTTGAACTCCAAATAATATAAGCAGAAATGGCTTATATAGAAATAAGATGATGTTTTGATATGGGAAACTCTAATAATCATTCGTATACAGAATTAAACTAACAGGTGCATAACTTTGTGTCAAGGAGTTGCAATTAAACAATGTTTAACGCAGGTGATGGCCACATAATATGTGTGGCTATAGATTTGCTGTCTGGCACCACAATAGTATTATATATCTCCATGCATAAACATGAAGCATCTTAACTCTCCCTTTACAGGTGAACATACCATTGCAAATCCAACATCAGCCTTTTTGAGAGCAGGTCCATCATTGGTTCCATCACCAGTTACTGCTACAACTTCTCTGGCAGTGCTCATCTTACTGTCTATAATACCTTTTACCAGCACATATTTATCCTGTGGTGATGATCGCGCCAGAACACGTAATTTAGGCCAAACTTTGTCAAATAATTCCTGTGAAACCTGAAAACAATAATACCGGGACTGTATCAAGGTTTACATATACTCTCAAGAAACAGAAAAATTCAGGAATTAAAAAGCATGATTTCAGTATAATTTTTGTTGTGTATATATATATAGCTAGTTTCTGTATTTGAAACCAGTGTCATTAGCCAAACATATTATAGAATAGATAATAAAAGGATTTCGAAACAACAATATGTTTACCATAGCTTGTAAAGACTTCACCATATAAACACATTTTGTTGATGGTTATTTCCCTGGCAGTTGCAAATATTACATGCATATTTTGGACAATAACAAAGTATTGTCTTTTGAATTTTGTACTATCTAAACTTACTTGGTCCAATTTTCAACATGCTATTAACACAACATGACTTGTGCATTTTTCACAATACTAAAAAATATTTTTAAACTGAGTTTCTTTTAATAGTCAAATAATGGTGTCTAATCATTATGTAATACCTCTCCATCTTCATCTAAGATACGTTTGTTAAATTCTTTGCCATCAATGACCAGAAAATCTTCATTAGGATCAAGAATTCCACATTTAGTGGCGATAGATCTGGCTGTATTCACATTGTCACCAGTTACCATTCTAACACAGATACCTGCTCTCTGACATTTCTTGATAGCATTGGGTACCTATAGCAAATCAGATATATAATCTTATACATCTAACAATAAAATGCTCTGCTAGGGGGCAGCTTGATACAACCACAGAGGACGAACCTTAAACAGTTGGGGCAAGTATGGACACAACATTCAAGCTTGATACAGCTCTGAATTTGGATTGGGATTAAATATTTTGACACAGCATAGACTTCTGACACAGAATGAATGTAGTCTAAGAACTTAAAAATTTGAAATTGAAAATTTACCTATTATGGTCCTATATCCAAAATCTAAATACATGGTTAGATTCAGCATATCAAAGAACCCCAAGCATTCAATTGTTGATGAAATCAAACAAAGTTTAATTTTGGACCCTTTGGACCTCAAAAATCTAAATACAAGGTTAGATGCAGCATATCAAAGAACCCCATTTATTCAATTTTTATTATTTCAACTAAAGTTTAACTTTGGACCACAATTTGGACCAACTTGAAAATTGGGCCCAAAATCAAAAATTTACATACATGTTAAGATTCAGCATTTCAAAGAACTCCAAGAATTTGATTTTTATTAAAATCAAACTAAGTTTATTTTGGACCCTTTGGACCTTAATTTGGACCATTTTGAAAACTGGGTCCAATATTAAAAATCTAAATACATGGTTAGATTCAGCATATCAAAGAACCCCAAAAATTCAAGACTTTGAATTAAACCCCATTGAAATTTGTCGAGAAATAAGCAATTCATACAAAGTATTAGAAAAGTATTGTTTTTGGCCCTTTTTTCACAAAAGGTTAGGGCCATAAACCCCCAAAATCAATCCCAACCTTCCTTTTTTGGTATGGAACCTTGTGGTACAATTTCATAGAGATCCATGGACTTATACTCGTTATTGTCCGGAAAATCTAATTTTTTTGGCCTCTTCTTCCTAAACAGTTTGGACCTTAGCCCAAAAATCAATCCCAACCTTCCTTTTGAGGTATAGATATCCATACACTTATACACAAATTATTGTCCTGAAAAAAGAAAATGCTTGTTTTTGGCCCCTAATTCCTAAACAGTTAGGACAATAACCCACCAAAATGATCTCAACCTTCCTGTTGTGGTATGGAACCTTGTGGTACAATTCCATAGAGATCCATACTTTTATACTCAAGTTATAGTCTGGAAACCAATTGTCTTACGACGACTATACCATCTTACGACCACAAACATTTTGCAGTCATATAAAATTAACCAATAATATATAACTTCCCTAATAATTTAGTACAACATATAGATTTATAAACATTGGTCAATTATTCACTTGGTTTTTAAATTGACTTTCTTCAGTGTTTATTTTCATCATGAGGAGGATTAATGATGACATCTAATCCATTTCTTTTCCAACTATCTTATGTCTAAATCTTAGATAAAAAGATGCAAAGGCAGAAAAACAAAAATATCAAAGTCTTTTACAAGAATTTCGACATACAAAATTTAACTTGGTACCCTACTTTCAACTCAACATATCTTAAGAGATCCATTAGAATACAAACCTCAGGTCTTACTGGGTCTTCAATACCAACAACCAGTAAACATGTTAGATCCTTTACTATGTCACCTTCCTCCTCCCAGTCCGGTTCCTCTGAGAATGTTACATCATTGACACCGTCACTTTCACCTGTTATACAGAAATACAGCTTAGTATAAATTAATGTACAATTCAAGCTAGTGTTGGAGGCAGTATTCAAAATTTACATTGTACCTAAAGATTCAAGGCTTGCCTTTTTCAAAATTATTGAAATTGCAGAACAGACTAGACAAAGTGATGCCCCGCACTCCACTCTGAAGTAACTGTATTATAACAAAGTCAATGTAGGACTTTCAGTTACGGGGCATAAAAATGTTCTCATATTTCTTTAATTGATCTTTATTGCCAGCAAGAGACAATTTAGATATTAAGTAGAGATATGGGAAGGTCTTCCACCACTAGAATGCATAAAGTTTTACTTTGAATTTTTGTTCAAGACTTGTCCAAATGGTCTTTCATTGGAAGATGTAATTGAGAATGTTCAATGATGGATGGAAGACAGATGCTAAAAGTTAGATACATCTTACATTTGTTCTTTAGGCTAAGTGAGCTTAAAACTAGCTTTAATAAATTATCAGCTGTATGATAAGAGTCTTATACACCATACCTTTAACAAAATCTCTGTATGCCAAACAGATCGTACGAAGTCCATCACTAGCCATTGGTTCTATTACTGTTTTCACAATATTATCCTGATCCTCAGGGGAGAATGGTAAAACCTGGCCTTTACAATCTAAGATATGGGTACATCTAAAAATAAAGAAAGAAAAATGATGCATTTATTGTTAATTATGCTAGAAACCTCTTTAAATTTTTAGATATGCTTACTTCATACTATAGGGGATAGCTTCAATTGAATAGGTATCCAGCATACTTGAATATCAATAGGGTTCTTTACTACAGAACACCTTTGTGATTTCCATAGGGTTCTGTTCAAAGATGATCTGAACACATTGTTGATAACCCTATGGATATCATGGATGGTACTGTTCAAAAAGTGTTCAGAAAACCTTTGTAATAGCAATAGGATTCTATCCAACACAGTGTTTAGAACAACTTTGTGATATCCACTGAGGTCTGTTTAACAAAGTGTTTAGAACAACTTTGTGATATGCATCAAGGTCTGTTTAACAAAGTGTTTAGAACAACTTTGTGATATCCATTGAGGTCTGTTTAACAAGAACAACTTTGTGATATTTGTTGAGGTCTGTTTAACAAAGTGTTTAGAACAACTTTGTGATATCCATCGAGGTCTGTTTAACAAAAGTGTTGAGAACAACTTTGTGATATCCATCAAGATCTGTTTAACAAAATGTTTAGAACAACTTTGTGATATCCATCGAGATCTGTTTAACAAAGTGTTTAGAACAACTTTGTGATATTCAAGTGTTTAGAACAACTTTGTGATATCCATTGAGATCTGTTTAACAAAGTGTATAGAACAACTTTGTGATATCCATCGAGATCTGTTTAACAAAATGTTTAGAACAACTTTGTGATATCCATCGAGATCTGTTTAACAAAGTGTTTAGAACACCTTTGTGATGCTGTAAATTCAGAAATTATTGCATGTATTTATTATTGTGATTTTGACATATCAGACCAAAATGTGAGAATAATTATTGCGATCACAGGAAATGTTGCATACACACATATCATAGATGCCAACCCCGCTTTGTTGCAATCAGTAAAAAAGTATTAAGATTTCCGTAATTTGTGATTTTTTCAGTAATGATATTTTTTTCATAAAATTTGATAATAATCATACTAACTAGGCACACAGTGACAAATACATGACTTCCTTTATCTATGACAACTAAGATTCAAAGTTGAAGAGCAAATAAGGAACACCGACCATCACGCTGAATCTTGTTTACAAAATATTAACAAAAAGGCATAATGTTCCAGTTTCCGATTCCGTTGTCCTACTGCAGAAATTCATTGTTCCACCAAACTTTGTAATTACTCAAGCGCTTATTGTAACAAAATTATAACCAAAAATGAAGCGTCACAATGATGAAAACGATGTCTTAAGATGGAACAGTTATGGAGTGGTAATAAACTAAAATCCGTAACAAGTAAATTGTTATTAGTAACACAGTAATTTTGGTCCAAAATTCGTAACAATTATGGAATTGGCATCTATGATATATGTGTCAAATTTCAGAATGCAAGTTCTTATTATTGCGATACTCACCCAGTCACATTATTCGCAATAATAAAAACTTCACAATAATTTTTGAATTTACAGTATCCATAGGGTACTGTTCAACAAAGCATTCAGAAAACCATTGTAATAGCAATAGGGTTCTGTCCAACAAAATGTTAAGAAGACCTTTGTGATATCCATCCAGTTCTGTTTAACAAAGTTCAGAACAGCTTTGTGATAGCTATAGGGTTCTCTCTAACAAGTGTCCAGAACAGTTTCATGATAGCAATAGGGTTTTGATCCATGGGGAATTTTTGACGAAAATATACAAGCTTACATTTTTCACCTAGTTATTTCAAATATGTGATAAAACATCCATTCATGTGCTACTTTAATAAATTAAAAGAAAATTAGCAGCAGATTTTTGTAAAAACATTTGGAATTTTTTATGTAAGCATGCTATAAATTTGTGTAACAGTTCTTTGGATTAAATCATTTTTATTAAATGTTCATGATTTTAGAAAAAAAAAACAGCATTCTTTGCTGTATCTTATCTAATTAAAGAAAAATTATCAGTAATTTGCTCATAAAACTTGGGACAAATAATCTTCCAACATATTAATGTCAAATGTCATTTGAAAACAGAGGAGTCCATGTACTTGTTTTCATCCCAAACATCATATTTTGACCTTGTGAAATATTAAATCTTGCTTAAGCAACGTCATTACCTCCCCTATAACTGTATCGTATGCTCTTATCCTTTTAAAGTCTGCTGTCAAATAAGCAAATCTAAAACTTAAGCACATAACAAATTTTCTTACTTTTTTAAAACAATTTCTGATGCTCCCTTTGTAAAAAGTCTGTAACCCTTGTTCGTAGGAATGACTGTACTCATAGACTTCCGTACAGAGTTAAAGGTGTATACTTTGGTTAAACGTTCTTCAGTAACTTCTTGTCTTACAGATTCATAACTCTGTTTCATATCCAGAACAAATCCTAACAGGGCACACTCTGTTTTATTCCCTAGTTGCGCAGGAAGACCCCCGTCCTCTGATGCCTAAAATCAGAAACAAATAAACAAGTTAAAACAAGGAAAATTAATTAACACCTGTCAACAGCATAAAACAATACATGTATGTTTATATAATTAAATTGCCCAATTAAAAAAATGCCTTATAATACTTGCATCCTATTTATAATAAGGAGATATGGAGTGTATGTCAAACAGACAACAACTCAATGACACTAAATATCAAGAGACATCTAGAAGTAAACATACAGTCTTCACTCAATGACACTAAATATCAAGAAACATCTAGAGGTTAACATATAGTCTTCACTCAATAACTATAAATATCAAAAGACATCTAGAGATAAACATACAGTCTTCACTCAATGACACTAAATATCAAAGAGACATCTAGAGATAAACATACAGTCTTCACTCAATGACACTAAATATCAAGAGACATCTAGAGGTAAACATATAGTCTTCACTCAATGACACTAAATATCAAGAGACATCTAGAGGTAAACATATAGTCTTCACTCAATGACACTAAATATCAAGAGACATCTAGAGGTAAACATAGTCTTCACTCAATGACACTAAATATCAAGAGACATCTAGAGGTAAACATATAGTCTTCACTCAATAACTATAAATATCAAAAGACATCTAGAGATAAACATATAGTCTTCACTCAATGACACTAAATATCAAGAGACATCTAGAGATAAACATACAGTCTTCACTCAATGACACTAAATATCAAAAGACATCTAGAGATAAACATATAGTCTTCACTCAATGACACTAAATATCAAAAGACATCTAGAGGTTAACATACAGTCTTCAACAATAAATGAGTGTCTATACAATATGTCAAGGTCTGAATTGGCAAATGGTCTATTAAAATCCTGAATAAATTTAACAGAGACAAATCTAAGATCTGCCATCAATTAAAATTCCTTAAATGGCAAACACAATAAGATACTGGAGGTTATGCAAGTAAAGCTCACAAAATCTTACCAGGAAACCCCTAAAAAAGGTGGTGCACAATGTGTTATATTATTATAAAAAGATTCTTAAACAGTTTCATTCATTGTAATAAGATGTTTAGGAAGAGTTGTGGATATAAGATGGGTACCCCCATAAAGCAATGGCTAAGTCCATAATTTGCTTAGGGAAAACCCTAAAAATAATTAAAAAAAGATTGCTATGGCTTAGTGAAATGTCCCCAGCCCTGTAAAAATGAGGAATTAAATTGTGTTTCCCAATGTGTTATTGTGGTACGATAGTCAAAATGGACTAATATATTCCAGACTTATCATAGTATCATAACAGTCAAAAACTTTGTCTTTTACATGGCTTTTTTCAAAAAATCACTGTATTAAGTCTTTGTGAAAATTGTTCCTAACATCACTGATTCTTTCCATTCTCTATGTTGAGAACAGGGAATAACTTTTCAATGGTCCTAGTACTGGCTCAGTTAGGAGTATAAAAGACAACTATAGGGGATCCTTTACCTGTATTCTGGAGGTATAACCACTGTTGATAGCTATGCCCCACACTATCAACTCTCTAAAACTGCTAGCTAAAGTTTCAAAGTTAGGAACCTGTTTGTAGTGAACTCCTGAAAAAAAGAAGATTGATTACAAATCAATTTATACATTTATATTCAATTAACTATATTTATTTTCAAATTGCCATGTTTTGTAACTCATATTACATTATGTGTTTCATATAATTCAGTGAAGCACCACAAAAAAAAAAGTTTAATGTTGGGATTCATTTTTCAAGACTTTGAGGCTTGTAATAAATTATAAGCCTGGTAACTTTTATGAGTTATTATTTAGTGTTGTTACTTTAGCCTTATTTTAGTGTTAAAAAGAAAAACACAAAAATGCAGAATTACACACACAAGACCTTGTTAGTTTTACAGCCTGGTTGACAAGGCTCATTGCTTAGATATAATGCATCTAAACTTATGCTATGAGAAATAAACAAACATTCATATTGAGAAATGTATGATTTTATTCAGATATGACAAATCATTAGTTGCTTAAGATCCAGCGGTATACCCTAAATTCAGAAATTATTGCATGGTTTTTATACAGGTGAATAATGTGACTGCCTGAGAATCGCAATAATACAAACTCCCATTTTGATTTCTGATATATACACCTGTATGCAATTTTTCCTGAAATCGCAATGATAAATCTTGAATTTTGGGTGGTCATTTCAAAATCGCAATAATAAATGCTCCCATATAATTTCAGAATTTACAGTACATTATAGTGCTATGCCTTACCTCCAATATAACTCTGAACAACTGTCATTCTGTTGGTTGTTAATGTTCCAGTTTTATCAGAACAAATGGCTGTAGCATTTCCCATTGTTTCACAAGCATCTAAATGTCGCACCAAGTTATTGTCATCCATCATTTTCTATCAAAATAAAAACAAGAGGCCTATTCAGTGATTACAAATGTGGCAAACTTGATTATTTACAACTTTGTATTCAGTACTACTAAAAGGTGGTAGATTGATTGAAGCTGTATAAGCTTTATTGGCAAATTTTGAATGGAAATCAGGACAATAACATATTATGTCAAATTAATATATCCTTTAACATTTTCATTGTTAACCTTTTATACCAATGGTGTTCACAAAAATGAGTACCCTACAAAACAATATTGAATCGGCACAGTATCTGCAATAGCAGGTTGGGTCATGTAGTAGTAATGTTTGGTTTAAAAGGATTATTCAACAAAAAATTATTGAAATGTTGTGTTTACATCTATTCTCTAAATTAGTTTTGGTCTAAATATGTTTCTAACTAAATTGCAGATAAACTTACTCTAACAGAATAAGCTAGAGATAAAGTTACAGCTAATGGAAGACCTTCTGGAACTGCTACAACTAACACAGTCACACCAATGATAAAATGTTTAACAAAATGTTCAATGTAGTTGGCAGTCTTGTCACTTGTCCATTCATTTTTGTTGATGGCAAACTCCTTCACGCAGAACTTGATAATGAGAATTAAAACAGTAGCTACAGCAATGGCAGTTCCTGGAACAAAGAAAGATAATTTAGTCAGTCTGAAATAAATGGAGATAATTATAGCCACTACAGTTTGAAATAAAGGGAGATAATTATAGCACTGACAGTCTGAAACAAGTAAATAGCTGACATTGCCAACTGATATCCTCATTACTGAACATTTATTGAAAGGAACATTATTTCATATATAAGAGAAGATAATTATAGCAATGACAGTATAGAATAACTGGAGACAACTACAGTTGTATAACCTATAATAAAGACATAAGGGAAAAGAAGGGTATATAATTTGTCTGTACCAGACATAGTATCAGTAGCTGTTATGTTTAATACTTGCCTGACTTAATTTCAATTCGACAAGCAGGCACTTCTCTGACTAGTTAAGATCTTTTCAACTGATTTTTATACTTTGTTCTTATGTTATGCTGTTACACCACTCTCTCGGGTAAAAAAAAGGGTTGGGCGCCCGCCAAACATGTTTAGCATGTTTAACCCCGCCACATTCTATATGTGTCTGTCCCAAGTCAGGAGCCTGTCGTTGAGTGGTTTTTGTTTGTTGCTGTATATCATATTTATTTTTTTTAGTTTATTGTTTTGTACAGTTTGTTGTTGTGTTGTTGTGTTGTTCTGTTGTACCACTGTCCCAGGTTAAGAGGGGAGGTTAAGCTGCCCGCTAACAAATTTAACCCCACCATATTATGTATGTGCCTGTTCCAAGTCAGGAGCCTGTAATTCAGTGGTTGTTGTTTGTTGTTGTACATCATATTTGTTTTTCGTTAATTGTTTTGTACATACCGTATAGCAGGTTATTTTCGAGGGTGTAAAATTTCGCGATTAAGGGGCAACAAAGATTACGAAAAATTTTGGCGGTTTTGATTTTGGCGGATTCTTTAATCCCAATTAAATATTTTGGCGGATACTGAAATCGTTGCAGTTAAAAAGTTGTAAAAATTGACAATGTTATGGTTTAAATGGTTGTTTTACCTGCATGACGTCTTATTTATTGATTATATTTTGATACAGTTAATAAATAGAATACCGGTACTTAGAAATCGGTTACAGGTGTACAAACCTCCGGTAAATGTTACGGTTGATTAGTTACGAAATTGACCGGACCTTTGATGTACTAATTATATCATGAAATTATCATGAGTGACTTGCAACTTTTATATAATTTGACACTAATTAATAAGGACAAAATACATGACAGAGTACCTTACACTCTTATATTATTATGTATTTTATCATGTAACCAATTAACCTATTAACACCTGACAGCGAGAGAACAATGGCCTTTCGCATTTATGTTGGTTAAATTAACATAAACTATTATTGATCCGACGATGGTTAAATTAACATAAACTATTATTGATCCGACAAACGGGATAATTAGATAGTTTTCAAAACGCTTTAGCTATTAGAAAGAACAGAAGTATGCAGAAATTTTCGCGGAATTTAATTTCGCGATTTCCCCTTACCCGCCAAAATAAGCCAAAATAAACACCCCGCAAAAATAACCCGGTATATCAAGCCGTTAGTTTCTTGTTTGAATTGTTTTACATATATAATTTCAGGGCCTTTTATAGCTTGCTATGGGGTATGGGTTTTGCTTATTGTTGAAGGTTGTACCGTGACCTCTAGTTGCTTTCTTCTACGTCATTTGGTCTCCGGTGGAGAGTTGTCTCATTGGCAATCATACCACATCTTCCTTTTTTTATATTAAGCAAGGTCATTTCTAACACTGTTAAAATTTTATGTGTGCTCTAACAGAACAATAAGTATAAAATAGATACATACATATATATGCTAGAATTGAATATATTTGATTACCTCCATATCCTATCTGGATGGCCAGCCTGGTAAGTTTAGCCTGCAGAACTGACTTCTCTTTTCGTGCTGATGCCTGTGGTGCAGGTTTCTTTGGCTCACCATTCCCCACTTTGTTGTTGACAGCATTGGTATTATTGGAATTGTGGGAGTTTCCTGTTGGCAATTCAGGATTTATTGATCCAAGATCTATCAAAATATAAACTAAGCATGAAGACAACAATATATTTTATTTCAACGAATTTTTTTTATATAAAAGCTGAATTAACAAAAAAAAAGATGTTCAGTTATTATATTCATATTTCAAATGTTAATTGTCCGTTCCAAATGAAACAAGACTCTACGTTTGGTCAGTAATTTTTTCTTGTGTATGTTAACAATACTTTTCCTAACCTCTTCATGGAAGACATTTTTGTACTTTTGGCTACTGTGTGTCCCAATTATATCAAAATGTGAATTTTGGCGAAAAAATATTGTTCAGGTTGCAGTTGGACTGAAGTTAAAATTGCATAAGTATTTTAAAAGAACCACAAATTTTTAAAATTCAAATGCCAAAGCAAGCACTGACTTTTGTGGTGATATCATCTATGCTTATTCTGTTATTATTTCTTTCCACGAAAAACAACAAGCGTAACTTGCAGAGAATAAATATTTTATGTTTGAAAATTATAGGAGACATTTTATTTCATCAAAGAGGTAAAATAGTTACCACTTTATGAGAGTTAATGTTACTGTAAATATTGTTACTCTTGTTTGTTAGTATAGAAATCTTAATGAAAAAATACTTTTCAGAGATCATGAGACACACACAAGTGGATTTAACTAATTTATGTCATAATAGGCTGTTTTTATGCAACTTTATGTTTCAAATGTTTATGTATATTACATTATATATAAAACACATATGTATATATGAAACAATCAATTCACGCATCTACAGCAATACTAGATCGCCATGCACAAACTGATGAGAAAAATCAATCTGAAGTATAAAACCAAGTTACCAACAGGAAACCAATTTACCCCTTTTGGTCCTTTATAAAACTGACTGGTCCCTAAACTTGCTAACCAATAGATAACCCATTTGAATTTTCACAAAACCTTTAACAGTGTTGTAAACTTTGATCACCAGATAAAAATTAATAAGAACATGGCACAAAATCTAAAATCCTGGTCTAGCATTTACATAGCCCAACAATAATCAGCAGCCTGTAAGCCCTTATAGGAACTATTTTAAAGGAGTAGGAATATTAAATTAAGAATCTTATTTGAACCAAAATATAATGCAAATATAAAAATCTGCATATGACATCCCCGAGTCAACTGAAGAGGAACTATGTTCTTTGGTCTTGATCTATAATATTTGTATTTTTTAACCTGGGATGGTTGGATGTCTATGACATCTACTGTATGTAGGGGACCATTTCACCTAAATAATGTTCACTGTTGGAAACCATACAGCGGATTTCATTTACAAATATTACAAGACCAACATAAAATCAAAATAACAACAAAGGAATCAATAGCTCTCTGTTTAAAAACCTGCATGCAAAATCTGAACTGTGTGTTCATGCAAAACCACTTCTTTTATGCCCGAACTCAAACAATAGACTTGTATAATAGAAACTGGCTAGTTCAATGGAAATTTAACTTAAAAACATTTCAATAATTCTCAGGAATTGAAATCAATATTGCTCAGTCATTTGTCAGTGAAGCTTTTTGCTTCAGGTGACTATACCACAGATTTACATCAGTTCTTTCTATCTGAGCAATTCTGGTTTTAACACCTGATATTTAAAAAAAATAAAAATCCAATGAATAACTTGCAACAGAATTGATTATCAGTCATAAGATTTCAGTTGCTTCCTGCTCAATACTTCCTTCTATCAGAATGAAGTTATGCATAACCTTTACTATTTTTTTAAAGATAGAAAACTGAAGCCAAGCATGAACATTTTTCATAAACTCCTGAAGCCATTCAAGTTTGAATACTTCCTTCTATCAGCATGCAGTTATTCATAACCTTGACTTTATTCTAAAGTTAGAAAACTGAAGCCAATCTGTGAAACATTTTCCAAAAACTCCTGCAGCTATACAAGTTAGCCTCAAAGACCATTGTCTGTACACCTGACACAATGTTCATTTCAATGAAAAGTATCTGAACATGTGACACAATGTTCATTTCAATGAAAATGTCTGTACACCTGACACAATGTCCACTTCAATGACATGACAAAGCAGGAAATCACATGCCAAACGCATGCCGAAAAAATATATAAATACACATACCCACTTTAACGTCAGCGTCACTAGTAAGCACTAATAAAAAAAAACATAAAAATAATAAAATTAATAAATAATTTGGTAAATTTATAAATATTTGAAATGAATATAGTACAGAGCTAGAAAATCTATTGTAAATTAAAGGTAATAAAGGAAATGTAGAACATATCATATATAGAAATTGTATATTCATATAAAATTGCATGCTGAAGTAAATAAATAAGGATATACTGACATCCTGAAAATAACTTGCAAATAAATCTTATTTCTTCAAACACAGATAGGTGTATATTTTTTCTGATTTACTTTAATTATTTGTCATACATCTCCTCTGATTGTTGCTGAAATATTTGTCATATAATTGTTTGCATAATATCACAATGTGTTCTGAATGTTAGAAAAGAAAGACCAATTGAGTTTCTATACTGTAAAACTTGCTTTACTTACAAACAAATTCAACTTTCTTAATCGATTTACAGTTTTTTCTAAGGAGTAATACCAAAGGGCCAATACAAGTATATTTGTATCAACAAAGCCTAAAATATAGGTCACAGTGGCTATCTTTCATAAGTGATTATTATACTCTCTAAGATGCATCCTTATATGAAGTCATAGGGTTATAGGTTACTTAATATCTGAGATCTGAACTTGGACATAAACTTCATTGCAGTTAAAGTGTAAAATGTAGGTCAGATTGACCTTCTTTTTTCTGCTTTACTTGCCAAGATGCTAACTTAAACTGAGTAATATGATTTACTGTCACTTTTATTTGAAATTAGATCTTGAATGTAAACTTAATAAAAGCCAATGGAGCATAAAATATAGGTCAGAGTGAGATACTTTAAAAAATAAATGCTACTCCACAAGATACTTCCTTGTTATAAGCTTGTTAGTCACTAAGTGTCTGAAATCTGAACTTGAAACTAAAATTGATTTTCAATCTGTGAAATATAAAATATTCTGTGGATTTATTTTCAATAATCACAGAATGAAACGTTTTTTTTATAAAGTTATTAAGGTAAAAAAAAATTTGCACAGAGGACCTAGTTTAATTTATATGCATGCATTGGTTCAATAATTTGCATAATATTATAACACTCTTAAATAGATTTTATGTGACTTTCAAACATCTCTTTTTTTTTAATTCTAAAATGACCGCTAATCCACAAACGAAAATTTTCTCATGACGTGTAGACATCTCTAAATACCATGCAGTAGCAATAATAGCCAGCCACCAATAGCATAAGCACAGAAAGGAAAGATGCATTAAAAGACTGAAAGAAAAATTCATCTAAAATAAACAGACAAATATCAACAAATTCTAAATATCAAAATTCAAATTTGAACAAATATTAATAATTAGTAAGCTTTTCAGGCACAATTTCAGAAATTACTTTTAATGTGAATCCTTGTACAAAACAAATAATCTGAAGGTTTCACATAAACTGCTTTTTAGAAAATAATTGTTTAACCAATTTCAAGAATAAAACTTTTGCATCACAAATGCTTAACATTTATAAATGTTTTACTGGATTCAAACATTTTGAGATATTGAAGTATTAAATGTTATTTCTTTTCCTTAGGCAAAGCTATTGATTATCATCTTTATCTTTTATAAATAGAAATGTATATTATGAAAAAATAAGATATATGACAAAATAAATAAATCAAATAATAATATAATATGAACTGTCCAATATCTTGACATAAACAAATAAGAATAATAGAATAGAAATAATAAAATCAAAGCCAAACATATAAAGAAATGCAATAAAAAAGAAAAGAATAGCCAGACAAGACTGTATGAAATTTTTAGGATAGAAATGCAATAAATAAAAAGCCAAATAACATGTATAGAATGTATATAATAAAACAAGTAATAAATAAAAAGCCAAATAACACGTATAAAATGTGTATGATAGAAAAGCATTACAGAATACGCCACATTACATGAATAAAATGTGCATGATAGAAAAGCATTACAGAATAAGCCACATTACATGTATAAAATGTGTATGATAGAAAAGCATTACAGAATAAGCCACATTACATGTATAAAATGTGTATGATAGAAAAGCATTACAGAATTAGCCACATTACATGTATAAAATGTGTATGATAGAAAAGCATTACAGAATTAGCCATATAACATGTACACAATGAGTAGTGTAACATTCAAAGCACAAAGTCAAGGTGAACATGATTGCTTTATAATGATTGCTTGAAGGCTTGCTGGACTTAAGAAGGGACTGATGTATTGCTTTCTTCCACCCACCATAGAGAATAAGTAGAGGATTATCTCAAACAACTATTAGATCACATTATGGTCATGGTATTTCTATATAGAATATGGACATGAACAAATACTAAAGCCTCAAAGGAACTGTATCATTCACCTGGTATAATAAAATGAACTAATGATTGTTTGCTTGTTGTTTGTTTAACGTCCAGTGGCAAATATTTCATGTATGTTCAGGACGACATTTATTTCTGTAAATTTTTAAAAAAGCGTTGTGCTTTGGTAGATGAAAGTCTTAAAAAATGCAGAAAACTCCTCAGAACAGTTTTGAGCTAGGATTTACAATACATTTTGCATGACAATACTATCCCTAGCATCCACTTGAGGCTTTTCTGAAAACTTGTAACAAGAATCTAACAAGAAGTTGCACATGATGTATATCCCCTCTTCTTGTCAGACACAATTAAAAATGTAAAGTATGATCAATCAGAAAGTGACTACCAGTAACTTGCTATAAAAAAATTGCTTACAGGGTACAGCTTAACATTATAAAGAATCAGACCAAATATCAAATCATTCCTTAATACAGGAGTTCAGTAATATGTAACCACAGCTTTTCAGAGGTGAAGTTTACAAAGAGATGACGACAGACAATGGATGCAAAGTGATGGCTTAACCTACATTTTGCTATAGTGTTGTTACTTCATTGTTGTGCAGTGTTTGGAAGCATGCATGTTATTATTTCGTGACAGTAAATGCAGAGAAAGTACATGTGGAAAGATAATATAAAAAAAAATGAAAAAGAAAATGAAAATGGAATGTATTTATGTAAACTCTGGACATAAATTGTGAGACAACAAAGTAATAACCACACAGAGGAAGTTAGAAATAGACACAGGTTTTTTTTCCAGACGAAATGAATGCTTTATGAAAGTAAACAAAGAAGTGAGTTTCCATCTTTTTATCAAAGTAAACAAATACAGAAAACTAAGATGACAATTGGTACTAAATATATTCTGATCCCACTGAATGTTGTATTAACATGTTAAATCTTTCACCAAACAAAGCAATGGGGGGAAGGTCAGGGTTGGTGGACATAAAGATGTAAGGCACTATGTCACCTTCACTTTTTGGTAAACATATCAATGCAACATAAGATCAACATATCTTATATCCTTAGAACTTTATGAACATACCAATCATAAAACTCAAAGGATATTATTTACTTTTTTCCAAAAAAGTTTTGTATGTTAATATATGTAATAATCATACTTGTAAAAAAAGAATTTTTATGTAAATAGTGCTGTTTTTTCTATGTTGATCTTTATTTGTGAAACTATCTAAAATCTATACAAGGGAGGTAACTGACTTACATGGAACTGTTTGTCCGGCAGTGTTAGTCTGTGAACCTGTAAGCCAGAGTCGGGAAGGAAGCATAGTTATAAAAGTCAACAAATGTCCCAATATAAAGGATCTTCACTTCAAAATGTACCTCACACTTTTTTTCACCTCTTAAAAACATAAACATGTTTCGGGTGTTGTTTTTAATGAAATTACGAGCCAATCAGAGAGTACATTATGTTCAATGAAATACTAAAGTCCCATTACATATAAAAAGTGAAGTACATTTAAAAAGTGCATATAATTTCATTCATATAACAGACTATTATCATATCAATACACTCTAAAGGATTGAATAAGTGCACAGGTGCATATTGTATGGTCTCACAACAGAACACATTGCTATCTAACAACCAAAAAACAGCAAGCAATTTTCTAAGGTTGAGAGGCGCAGACTTCAAAAATTATTTAGAATCAGTGAAAAACTAGCAGAGAAGATCATTTGTGAATAGTGATCTTTTTGAAATACATGAATGAATAAATCAGTATTTTAAAGTGTTAATTGTATCAAGTTTGGAATAACACAAGTTAACATTTTGAAAAGTTTGAAATAAGAAGAAAAATTTTGAAAGACCCTTCATTCAAACCAAAATGATGGTAGTATAAAAAGATGACAGGATTACAATTATAATTCATTTTTTTCATTTTAACACAACATATGCATAAAAGTCTTCTTTTCTTTTCATTTTCAAATTAGAAATGTTAGCTGTAAGTAAATCATGAAAATTGTTTGCCATTTTTCTGACAACAAAATAATAAAACTGAGAAGGCATTATTGTACTTTACCTCGATATGCCACTATTGTCACTTCTCAAATAAAAAAACAAGCAAGTCAGTTGTGCTCATTCATCAATCTTAACCCTAAGGTTGCCATGTAAATTTATTTTATTATGGATATACATATACGTACAGCATATAAAAATAATTTTGTAAAATAAACTCAGTGCTAATAAACATTTTTTTTTAATATGAACATAAGTCTATTTTGAAGACAGACAAAATTTCTACCAACTGGAAAATGATTGGTTTCTATAATGTAGAGGAGAACGAGAGAAAAGAACAAACATGCAAACTGTACAAAATATTAAATAGGAAAAAATTCAAAACCATATAAAAATAAGACATCCTATTTTTCTTTTAGCTCTAAAATTAAAAGTTGTGAAATAAAAGATAAAATATTTACAATACTGTATTAAGAGTAAAGACTACCATGAAAGTATTAACCAGTTGGTAGAATCAATGCCAATGTTCATAAATCATTTAAGCAGCTGTGACAATAAAAAAAAATTGACAGCTATACTCTAACAGTCACTGTGTATACTAAAAGTTGACCACTTCTATATGAGACCAAGTGAAAAAAGGTAACCCCCGGCAGGTGTCAAATTTTCAAGCAAGGCAATCTGATCAATAGTCAATTTTGCAATTACCTTACTGAATTTTTTTTATTTTTTGGCAATGGGCAACAACACCTAGATAGAACAGACTGTATCCCTGTCTATACAAATCTTATGGTAAGTGCATGTATTGGAAGATTTGGACAAATGAAAACTTTCAAGCATTTAACTGCATAATCATCCACTTTGCAATCCCATTTTAACCATAAATGTGTAATGCAAGTTACGAAGTAAATAAAATGCTCCGCAGGGCGCAGCTTGATACGACCGCAGAGGTCGAACCCTGAACAGTTGGGGCAAGTATGGACACAACATTCAAGCTTGATACAGCTCTGAATTTGGATTGTGATTAAATATTTGACACAGCATAGGTTTCTGACACAGAATGAATGTGGTCTAAGAACTTAAAAATTTTAAATTGGACATTCACCTATTATGGTCCAATATCCAAAATCTAAATACATGGTTAGATTCAGAATATCAAAGAACCCCAAGAATTCAATTTTTGATGAAATCAAACAAAGTTTAATTTTGGACCCTTTTGACCTCAATGTGGACAAAGTTGATAACGGGGCCCAAAAATCTAAATACATGGTTAGATTCAGCATATCAAAGAACCCCATATATTCAATTTTTGTTGAAATCAAACAAAGTTTAATTTTGGACCCCGATTTGGACCAACTTGAAAACTGGGCCCATAATCAAAAATCTAAATACATGTTTAGATTCAGCATATCAAAGAACACTAAAAATTCAATTTTTGTTAAAATCAAACTAAGTTTAATTTTGGACCCTTTGGACCTTAATGTAGACCAATTTGAAAACGGAACCAAAAATTAAGAATCTAAATACACGGTTAGATTTGGCATATCAAAGAACCCCAATAATTCAATTTTTGATGAAATCAAACAAAGTTAAATTTTGGACCCTTTGGACCTCAATGTGGACCAATTTAAAAACGGGGCCCAAAATCCAAAAACTTAATACACAGTTATATTCAGCATATTAAAGAACCCCAAGAATTCAAGAATAAAACCCCATTGAAATTGATCAAGAAATAAGCAATTTATAAGAAGTATCTTCTTTTGCACAATACTGTGCAATTGAATATTTCTTGCTATTGCGCAATACTGTGCAATTGAAGATTTCTTGCTATTGCGCAATACTGTGCAATTGAAGATTTCTTGCTATTGTGCAATACTGTACATGTGCAATTGAAAATTTCTTGCTATTGCACAATACTTATTATATAAAAATTTACACATCCTGTTTGGTGTGTATCTCCTACCATATCATTATTATTTGCTTTTAAATATAAATCAGAAATAACCAACTTAAAAGGGAAAATTTTAAAAGAAAAAAAAAGGAAAAAAAGAAAATAAAAGAAAAAAAAAAAAATCCCCCCCCCCCTCAAATTTTTTGAACCCCCTTATGATTCATCACCCCCAAACTCAATCCCAGCCTTCCCTTTGTGGTATGGTACCTTGCAGTACAATTTCAGAGAGATCCATACACTTGAACACAAGTTATTGTCTTGAAACTAGAAAAATGCTTATTTTTGGCCCCTTTTTGGCCCCCAATTCCTAAACGTTTCAGGCAATTACCCCCTAACTCAATTCCAGCTTTCCCTTTGTGATATGAAACCTTGTAGTACAATTTCAGAAATATCCAAACACTTACACACAAGTTATTGTCATGAAACTAGAAAAATGCTTGTTTTTTGCCCCTTTTTTGGCCCCTAATTCCTAAAATTTTGAGGCAATTACCCCCAAAATCAATTACAGCCTTCCCTTTGTGATATGGAACCTTGTGGTACAATGTCAGAGAGATCCATACACTTACACACAAGTTATTGTCTGAAAGTTACAAAAATGCTTATTTTTGGCCCCTTTTTGGCCCCTAATTCCTTAACTGTTGGTACCATAAACCCCAAAATCAATCCCAACCTTCCTTTCGTGGTATTGAACCTTATGGTAAAATTTCATGGAGATCCATTCACTTAAACTAAAGTTAGAGTGCGAAAACCAATGTGTCTTCGGACGACGACGACGCCAACGTCATACCAATATACGACCAAAAAATTTTTAATTTTTGCGGTCGTATAAAAATTATTGTCAAATCATGCCCAATACACCATGCTCATATTGCTTTGTATAAGCAGAGATACAGTTTGTATTATTTATGGGTTGTCTTCCTTTGCAAAAGATTTTAAATTTGGAAACATGTGTTGTTTCCCTTTTTCTAAATGATTCTAAAATTAAAAACATGTTTTGTTTCCCTTTTTCTAAAAGATTCTTAATTTAGAAACATGTGTTGTTTCCCTTTTTCTAAATGATTTTAAAATTGAAAACATGTTTTGTTTCCCTTTTTCTAAAAGATTCTAAATATAGAAACATGTGTTGTTTCCCTTTTTCTAAACGATTTTAAAATTGAAAACATGTTTTGTTTCCCTTTTTCTAAAATATTCTAAATTTAGAAACATGTGTTGTTTCCCTTTTTCTAAAATTTTCTTAAACTGGAAATATGTTTTGTTTCCCTTTGAAACAGTTTGAGAACAAAGTTGGGAGTTGGAAAAAGGACATTTTGATTAGCTTCTTATACTGTCAGTCTGTCAAAAACTTTTAAAAGTTACAAATGTCTGTTCATGTATACTCTAAGTCTCTAACTCTATTCAATTAAAAATGGAATAAACTTATCTATTGTTTAAGCTTTTCAACAAAATATTCAGGTATTACTGGATCACAATGACTGTTAGCATGGATATCTCAAAATGAGCACAATGACTATTTGTAAACAACATATAGACAACAAACAAACAACATTTTACTTATCTATTAATATACTACACAAATATTCAATGTTGGAATTTATTTATATATGTATATATTTTCTTAAAAGATAAGTTTATTATATTTAATATCTGTATAATATTTTCAGAAACAAGACAAACTTAATTAATTAGCAGCAACTAGCGAAAGTCATTAGCTTATAGTTTAGGCCAAAATAACCCCCTTTAATAGCCTTTTTCCTTATCATATTTTTTTTAAGTATCTTATTGTTGATATGTACTTAATCCTTTTCCTGATGATTGGACAGTTTGAAGTAGATGTACTAATTTTATTTAAGATAAGAACTGACAAAAACATCTTTCTGCGTTGGTTTTTTAGTCTCTTATTTTCAAGTCTTGTTTTAATTTTTCCACTGTGAGACAGTTTTATCATTCAAAGTTTTAGTAATATAACTAAAACTGTAATGAATTTGTAATTTATGTTGCTTATGAAATATTACATTGAGTTTATATGCCATTAAGAATGGCCATAGTAACTCATCAGTTATTTTACATATGACAAGTCACCAGCTTGGGACTAACAATATTGACTGAACACACTATATTTTATTATATGAAATGACCTTTACTTTACTGTATCAATCATGTGAAGGCCATTATCCTATATCCATACATTTATTGATCTAGACTTATAACATTATTGTATTAATTGAATTTTTGTCATTTTATATTTATGGTGTTATCTACCTAATCCTTTTTCTGATATATGGATGATTTTTACATTATCACTTTCTCGTCATTCTTTAAAAAAAAAATCATATGTATTACAGTTACTATTTAAAAAGTTTGTATGTATTATAATGCCTTAAAAATAATGATTCCACTTAAAAAAAAAAAAAAAATATAAGGGACTCACGACAGGAAATCTATCTTTTTATTAAGTTTTTTTATAACTTAAAGACTACTATGCAAGAAATGTAAACAGTCAATTGGAACTATTTCAAACTGGTCTCATTTATTCTTATAGTAAATTTCAATTTAAAAAATAATTAAAAGCATGAAATAATTTATTTTCAATATAAACTAGCGATGCAAAAAATCTCTATTGAAAATATTCTCACTTGAAAACTTATTTTTGAGTTATCAAGAAGATTTTTCTACACATTTCCAATATGCCTAAATGTGAAATTGGTACTGATTATTCAATAACAATATATGATTTGAAGGAACCCTCTTGTCAAAGTAGGTCTCAATGTGTTCAGTGATTCTTAAAACTATTTTTAAATTGTTACCCCCAATTTCTTGACAGTATTTATGATTATTGTATAAGACATGCAAAACACGACAGAATGACAAAAGCACATTTACAACATAACATAACCACAGATCAGCTGCCTTAAAACTCTGTGTAGTTTAGTGATAAAACAACTGCCTATGGTTTTCTCATTGTATTCCTTCTTTGTTTGGTAATATTTTAAATCTAAATCAAAAAAATAAAAATATTTAACATGTGTTGGGATGTTAAAAATATGAGCTGTTTTTCATGCCAATCTGGATCTCTCAACAATTAAATCATTTTTTTATATGAAAAAAATGCTAACATTAATCAAATGTTAGACAATGAGGACAATGCCTTAAAAACCTAATAACAATTACATGTACTAATGCAATCATTCTGGTATGTTTATTATTAATTTTTAAAGATAAACAGTCAGTAATCTGGAAGTCAGAATTATCAAATATAAACAGTCAGTAATCTGGTATACTCGGGATTATCAAATATAAACAGTCAGTAATCTGGTATACTCGGGATTATCAAAGATAAACAGTCAGTAATCTGGTATACTAGGGATTATCAAAGATAAACAGTCAGTAATCTGGTATACTAGGGATTATCAAAGATAAACAGTCAGTAATCTGGTATACTAGGGATTATCAAAGATAAACAGTCAGTAATCTGGTATACTAGGGATTATCAAAGATAAACAGTCAGTAATCTGGTATACTTGGGATTATCAAATATAAACAGTCAGTAATCTGGTATACTCGGGATTATCAAAGATAAACAGTCAGTAATCTGGTATAGTCAGAATTATCAAATATAAATAGTCAATTATCTGGAATAGTCAGATGTATTTAAGATAAACAGTCATTCATCTGTTTTAGTCAGTTTTATCAAAGTTAAACAGTTGGTAATCTTGTATAGTCACTTTTATCAAAGTTAATCAGTTGGTAATCTGGTATAGTAAGAATTATCTAACTTAAACAGTCAGTAATCTGGTATAGTCAGAATTATCAAATATAGAGAGTCAATTATCTGGAATAGTCAGATGTATTTAAGATAAACAGTCATTCATCTGTTATAGTCAGTTTTATCAAAGTTAAACAGTTGGTAATCTTGTATAGTCACTTTTATCAAAGTTAATCAGTTAGTAATCTGGTATGGTCAGAATTATCTAACTTAAACAGTCAGTTATATGGCATAGTCAGAATTATGCCAAAGATAATGGCCACTTATCTTGCGTAGTTAGTTTTATAAAAGATTAATAGTCAAAACTATCAAGATAAAGGGTCAGTTATCTGGTATTGTCATAATAGTCACACATAACAGTCAGTTAATAACTACTAACGAAGCTAAGGAAAGTATTTCTTCTATAAGAAAATAAAGGTTGTCTCCCCTAAAGAATAGTCTATGTTTAATAGTCTGTTTTATTTATTTAAAACATAGGTCACTAAAAAAAAAATCCTGTGAAAAACCTTATAGAAGAATTTCATCATTTCTCATTATAACAAACATCAAACAATATCCAATAATAACACAATCTCTCATATAATTCAATGCAAGGAGAAATTTCTGGCAGAATCACATAAGAATAAGAAAATTCTGACAGAAAAACTTTTTAAATATGCACTTATGCAAGTCATGCAAATTAATGTCCCAGATAATGGTTTCACCCAATAACCACAATTCTGCTTAAAGCAAGATGCACTAAATGAACAGTAAATTGCTCTTTTTAACTTGACTCTCTGTTTTAGAACTCATGCCTACTTAATCGCCATAACCAATCTTGATTACTAACTTTCTTTTTGGAATTTTGTTAATTAGGACTATATACCTTCATTTGGACCATCTCCTTTTTTCTTGCCATTTTTCTTTTCTTTTTCTTTTTCCTTTTCTTCACCATGTGAGGCTCCCAATAGGGCAAAAATAATACCAGTTTGTGAGTTAATTCCAACAGCTGTGACCAACATTTTCCCACTTCCTTCCATGACATGGGTACCTTTAAGACAACACAAACACATTTTTTGTAGAGAAAAGATTTTTAATTATGAAAAACCCAAGACCACCTCTAAATCATTGTTTTCTGAAACACTTTCCATGTCATTTGATAAACAAAATCCCTATGAGTCCCTCCATTTTAAATTCAATTTAATCTTAATGATACAATTTAGCAAAAGATAGATTTTCTTCAAATATTTACATCTTACAATTTTCCCAATGACATTCAATTTCATTTAAGATTGGAAATTGTTTTATATCATATAAAATGCCAGTGTATCAAATAAGTGTGAAAAGCAGTTATTTTTTCCCTTAAACGTTAATTTCTTCATTACTCTGTTGATAGAATAAGTGTTCCATCGTAACTCTTGACATTTTCTGTTCGATGTACGGAGACCATTGATTTTCATCTAATGGTCAGTTATACATGGTAATATTGCCAACAATATTGATCTTATATTTGATGTAAGAAAATATCTCAACACAAGATGGTTCAATACAACACACAACACATTCCTTTCTATTTGGTTCCATGTTTGTTCAAATTAAATTTCATGGTCACAACTGTCATTGTCAAACCCTGATAATGAAAGTCTGATCCATACTGTTTTCTTTTATAGCGGCTTATGCTGCTATTTTTTTTTTTATAGCTGATATAAAAGCTATAGCTGCCTTTGAAAAGATGTCCACATTAATAGAATTAAATCTTCCTTCTAGGAATTAAAAAAAAATACAAACTTAAAACAGCTGAAGTTTAAAGATTTCAGAAGGGACTTCTTTATATTTGAAATTTCATCCATCAATCTATAGTCCCTCATCTTTGTATTAAAAACCAAACTAAAACATAGTGTACTTTATTGTTACATTCTATACCTGACAGCAAAATAGGACTTGTTGATTCTCCTTTCTTGACATGGTCTGATTCACCTGTTAATGAACTTTCATCTACCTTTAAATCGTTACTTTGTATAATTATACCATCTGCTGGTAAAAGATCACCTGAAAATAGAAATTAGTCAACCATGTCATATAGGTCAGCATATTGGTTTAATAAGAAAATCTGTGCTCTATGTATATCTGCTTGACTGTTCGTGTTAGAACTTTGCCTATGGTTCTAAATAGTTGCTATGGCATTTTCAAATGTTTTTTCATTGCTCACAATAAGTCCTCAAAACATGTTCATTGATGCAGATTAATTAGGATTGATAACATCATTCAAGAGATTGCTTATTAACTAGCCAAGCAAGAAATATTGACTTTTGTCAATCCTTGACATAAGTTTATTAACTAGAAATATTTCCAGGAACCATCAACATTTAAGAAATAGAATAATTTTGAATATCTATTACAGTGCAAGTACTTTATTTCATTTCTATATATATATATATTGTGCTGATATTTAGTGTAATTATATATATATATATATATAGTGCCTAGAAAATCAACTTAACAATGTAAGAGTAGATCTGAACATTTTGAGACATTAAGAATGACCTTGGGTAAACTTTTCTGCAAAAAGTTTTTTTTTCATACATTGTCGAAATAAAGTTTAAATAATGCTTTAAGAAATAAAAGACAAAACATTGTATTCAACCCTCCTTGTTTTTAAGAAAAAGACAAAACATTGTATTCAACCCTCCTTGTTTTTAAGAAAAAGACAAAACATTGTATTCAACCCTCCTTGTTTTTAAGAAAAAGACAAAACATTGTATTCAACCCTCCTTGTTTTTAAGAAAAAAGAAAGCATATTAAGAATTTGCAAATCTTATCTGAATAAAAAAAACTTGAGTTTATTCATAATCTCAAATCAGAAAAAAAAAAGATTTCATTTTCCTGTTTAACTACATGCAGTCCATATTTCATATTAGTATTCTGATATTTCAAATGTCGAGTACATCATGTTGTACATTTTGCACCACATTTCAACATCAAAAGGAACTGACTGCATATGTATGGAATGTAGAAAAGTCAATATTGGATAAATCTGTTATTACTATCAAAGTGAACATATCTGATACAAATGGTCTTCATCTTGGCACCAGATCAGGAGATACAACCTTACTTCAACTTAATACTGAAAGAACATCTTCATTTTCTCTTCATTGCTTGCATCAATGAAAATAAGTAACTATCAATAAAGTAAACAACCAGTAACCACCTGATATAATGCTGTGTAAAGCTTTGTCAACTTGAAGCTTACAGTAGTGTAAATTAGGGTTGTGTCATTTTCAACTTATCTGTCTTTTATAAAGAATGTGTGTTTCAGGTTTTGCGTAATTTTGACCTCTGCAAAAATTATACAACACAAGGCATGATTTCTAATGATTTTAACAGGTCCATGTTTCTTGACAGTAAGATGTTTGGTTTGTACCCAAAAAACTAGAACTGCTTTATAGAGTGTGAAGTGTGTGTAGTTATATATGTGTGCAGACAATGGTTTGTTACACCAGATATCTCATTATCAGAATGATATTTTTAAAACAGTATCAGGAACTTATCAGGAAATCAAATTAGCTAATAGAACTGTTTTTTTTTTGCAACAGTTTAACATGTGGAGTAAGAACATTATAAAAAGATAGTGTAAAATTTTGGATGAAGACAAAACCAGAAAGTAAACTCATCACAGATACAAGGATTCAAATTTTGTACACCAGATGTGCATTTCGTCTCCAAAAAGAACAACGCTCCAATAAAAAAAAGCCAAATAAAATGGTTATCATACCAATAAAGTGAGATTTTACCTGACCCTACGTTAGAGTTTTACTTCTTGATTGTCCACTGAAATTTTGTTCTGACCAATAAATAATATTGTCAACTGGACCAAATATTCAGTGAACCATCCAGCACCATTACCATATCTGAGATTTATGTTGATGACCCGGAGACAGTAACATTGACTGACAATGTATTTAGAAAGTTCTAATGTCAATGGAGATTCAATTAGATGTTGTAGAAAATTTGATTTGCTATTGTATAAAACTCTGCTTGCCACAAACTCCAATCCAATAAATATTGACAGACTTCAGCTTGGTCTGAATCGATCACAAACTGTTTACAATAATGGCTCTAATGATTTAATCTACAACTCTGTGATGTTAATGTTCAAAAATTTCTAAAGATCAAATCTAAAAAAAAAAAAACTAAAACATTTTAATACATTTTCCCAACAAAACATCATAAACAAGAGGCTCTCAAGAGCCTGAATGGCTCACCTGTAATTTTTTGCTTAAATCTTTCATCAATGATTATTTTTGCTTTTCAATATATCTTAATGAGTGGCTTAAAGATGTCATTTAAATGTTCTTTGTATCTGACATATTTTCTTCAAAAGCAAAAAAATGCATTTTACCCCTATGTTCCATTTTAGCCATAGTGGCTATGTTTCTTGACGTACAAGGAAATAAAATACAAAATTTATACTAGATACTCTGAAACTCATTCAGCCCAAGTTTGGCTGAAATTGATTTAGCAGTTTTAAAGGAGAAGATTTTTTTAAAGTAAGCAAACTAGATGAACAAATTGTGAAAAATTGTCTTTAAAGGACAATAACTCCTTAAGGGGTCAATTGACAATTTTGGTCATCTCAAACTTATTTGTAGATCTTACTTTGCTGAACATTTTTGCTGTTTACAGTTTATCTTTATCTATAATAATATTCAAGATAATAACCGAAAACTGCAAAATTTCCTTAAAATCATCAATTGAGGCAATAACCTAAAAACCAGATACCCAATTTGGCTGAAAATAACAGGGCAGGTAGACCTTGACCTAATGAATACTTTAACTTCTTGTTTGATTTGCTCTAAATGCTTTAGTTTTTGAGATATGTCAAAAACTGCATTTTACCGTATGTTCTATTTTTAGCCATGGCGGCCATGTTTTCTGAGGAAACAGAAAATAAAACACAAACTTTATTCTAGATAACCTAAGAATCATTCAGCTTAAGTTTGGTTTAATTTGGTTCAGTAGTTTCAGAGGAGAAGATTTTTTAAAGTTAGAAAACATGATAAACAAATTGTGTAAAATTGTCCTTAAAGGGCAATTACTCCTTAAAGGGTCAATTGACAATTTTGGTCATATACACTCATTTGTAGATCTTACTTTGCTGAACATTTTTGCTGTTTACAGTTCATCTTTATCTATAATAATATTCAAGATAAAAACCAAAAACTGCAAAATTTCCTTAAAATTACCAATTTAGTGGCAGCAACCCAACAATGGGTTGTTAGATTCATCTGAAAATTTCAGGGCTGATAGAACTTGACCTAATATACATTTTTACCGCATATCAGATTCGCTCTAAATGCTTTAGTTTTTGAGATATAAGCCAAAAACTGCATTTTAATCGTATGTTCTGTTTTTAGCCATGGCGGCCATGTTTTTTGATGAAACAGAAAATAAAACACAAACTTTATTCTAGATACCCTAAGGATCATTCAGCTTAATTTTGGTTGGAATTGGTTCATTAGTTTCAGAGGAGAAGATGTTTGAAATAGTTTACACCGGACGGACGATGACGGACACCAAGTGATGGCAAAAGGGAAAGGTGAGCTAAAAAGGTGACACTTATGTACTGAAGATATATAAGACATGTGACAACTATTCCGAGACAATATCTCACAGAAAAATATGTAAGTTTTACATAAGACACTATCTTATAACAGCTATTGAAAAGAGGGGTATGTTCTATGATACAATATTTAATGCCAGGTATGGGATAAAAGCATTACAGGTAAGGTCTAATAAAACATACCATATGAATGTATGATAAATATCTTGTGAATGTAAGATACAAGATACCAAGGAATATAAGATACACTTTCTCATACAAGATACCAGAGGAATGTAAGATACATTTACTCATACAAGATACCAGAGGAATGCAAGATACATTTACTCATACAAGATACCAGAGGAATGTAAGATACATTTTCTCATACAAGATACATAATAAATTGGTTGGTGTTTAATGCCACTTACAGAACTATTGGCTATTTCTTGGCTGTCAATGTTTATTGGTGGAGGATGCCTGAGAGCCTGGAGAGAACTATGACCTTCTACAGAAAAACTGACAATCCTTTTCAATTAAAATTGAAGTAGAACATACCTGCACTGTGTGGGGTTCGAAACTCATAACCTCAGTTTTGACAGGATAGTGACACAGTAGCTGAACTAATAAGACAACTCGGCCACCAAGGCCCCCATATAAGATACACTCTCTCAAAAATATATAAAGAACGATAGAAATTGAAACGGTAGCTCATTCAAATAAAAAGCTTTCGGCACAATTGGCTATATCATGGCGTCCAGTTTTTGTTTGAGGATGAAGCCAGAGTATATGGATTGAACTGCCTACCTTCTGCAGGAAAACTGGCAATCTTCATCAATAAAAATCAAATGCACCTTGCCATGAGCAGGGCTTCCAACTCACAATCTCAGTGTTAAGGTATGGGTTAGTAGGAAAAATACAAACATTATAATGTTCACTAAATCTACTTAACCGGGATTGTGGTCTGAGAAGCATCTATTCAACAAATTATAAAACTCCTAATTGCCATGGCAACATATCAACAAGCATACAGACTAAGTTTCCAAGAAACTGTTTTATTTTGTATACTGGGTGACAAAATACTGAAAGCTGATGCCAAGATTTGACTTCTCTCAACAGAATTCCTGCAGGATGTTTATTAATGTCGATCAATATTAATAAAGATGTATACGAATGCCAAATCGCAATATAATTATGTAAAACATTGTATCAATACATAAAAACAATATGTCCTAAACCTCTAGGGAAAAGTTATGTAAAAATTCTGATTCTAAAGGAATATTATACAGATAATGTTTAATTTCTCTCACAAGATGGTCACTAAGTCATTAATCTGAAGATTTCTCTAAGTAACAAATGGTCAAGCACGATTTTCTTCCACGGTGACAGATCAGATAAATGATGATAATACATTGGTATTGATTCAGTGATGAAGTAGAATGGACAATTG